TCCACGCACGAAGGAGAGCGTCCGCCTCAGTGCCCTTCTTTCCGAACTCGTGCCCGGAGCCGCGAGGAGCCCGCAGTCCCTGCCGCTGACCCGAGGCTCAGAGCGGCCGCTCCCGCCTACAACTCCCATCGTGCATCGCGCGCAGGGGGCGTGCGTCTGTTTCGCTACGCGCGGATCGCCCGTTGTCCGTTCGAACCGACCAATGGTAGCGAGGCGGTAGCGCCTCCAGCCAATAGTGACGGGCAAGCCGGGAGGGGCGGGACCGCGGGGTGGCGCGTCGGGCCAATGGGGAGGCGGGGCGGCAGGTATGAGATGGCGGCGGGAGCGCCGGCGGTCGGTGCTCGGCGGGGCGGCAGGTAGGAGCGGGGCGCCGCCCGGGATGCGGGGCGCGTTCTCGCATGGTGCGGCAGAGGCGTGGAGCCGGGGGTCGGTGTGCCCGGGCCTGAGCGGCGCCGAGCGGCGACGGGAAGCGCAGCCTGGCCCGCAGTGCCGCATTGCGGGCCGCCCTCGGCGCGGTGTGCCGCAGCGCTCGGTTCCGAAAGAGAAGCAGCTGTAATTGCAACCGGCTTCTTCGCAAGCTCTTTTCCCACAGCTGCCGGTCGCGCAGCATACGATAAGCTGTTCCCAGAACCGCCCGCCGGCTGGCTCGGCGGAACTCGGCGCGTTCGCTCTCGGCCGGTAACGCTCCAACGCCCAGAGCCCGGTGCGGAGCTGTGGTTCGGAGCCGCTGCCTCGGGCCGTCCCTCCCTGCCCGGCTCCTCCCCGCAGCCCCCCACCACTGGGTGCTGCGATGTCCTGCTCGCCCGGAGCCCTCGGTGCCACTGGGCGCCTCCCTGTGCCCTCCTGCCCACGCTGCCGCGGGATCTCGCGGATAACCCGCGGCTGCGGTACGCGGCGTGCGCAGCGAGCGGCTCCGCTCGGTCAAAATAAAACGGAACAGTCATAGAATCGCAGAACGGTTGCGTTGGAAGGGACATCAAAGGTCATCCGGTTCCAACCCTCTGCTGCAGGCAGGGGTGCTGACCGCTACAACCGCTGGGTCCGGGCCGCATCCAACCCTGAATACCGGCAGGGATGGGGCAGCTTGTCACACAGCGTGTTGTGGCTGCTGGGAAGCAGCCGTCCCGGTCCCGCTGCACAGGGGCTCCCAGCCCCGCTCCCTGTGCACAGCCCCGCACCACCCTTGCACGCGAGCTGCATTTTCTCTCGTTCTCTGTCTGCAGTGTGTCCTGATTATTTTCCCTGTCCTTCCTCGCCCTCCTTTTTAATAGTGTCTCCAGAAAAGCTGGCAAGTTCAGTTCTATCAGTCACGCTGACAGATAGCGCTGCCTCTCCTCTTGGGATTCCTCCTCTTTTCTGTCCCTCCAGCATTCATTTCGGCGTCAGCTCGCAGCCCTCTGAAGGCAGGGGATTGCCTTTGTTCTGTGTTTGTACAGCACGGAGCACAGCGGAGTCCCCAGCTGTGACTGAGGTTTCCAATGCCACAGTGATAAAAGTGAATAGAGCAGTAATGAGGAGAGGCAGCTGCTGCCATCTAAAAGGTTCCATTTTGGTGCTGGTTTCTGTGAAATTACAATTGGATCTAAGGCAGCTCCTTTACAGCTGCTTTGTATAAAGGTTTACATTAAAATAAATATATTTACCAACTTTGTGTTGCACTGAAAGTCATGAAAATTGTAATGGCATTATTTATTTAGATTGTGTTAAGGCAGATGTATGAACCTGCAAATCCTTAATGCAGAAGTACTGGGTTTCTGGCAGTAGCTGTGTTCCTGAGAGCTTAGGGAGCGTAAGACAGGATCTGGATGTATCCCATGCTGCAGAATCGGCCCGAAAAGCAGTGCTGACATAGGATGTGGCTTTGTGAGCAGCTCTGCATTGAGTCTGCAGCCCCAAGGTGCCTTTCAGTCCTCCTCCCTTAGCACCAGAAGGTGTCTGGGTGCTGTGATGTGCTGCAGGCTGATTGAAGTGTGGCTTTGTTGACTTTACAGCATTCCAGTGGATTTTATGAAGAACACCATAGAAGAATTCTCTGCGTTCTAAGTTGGAACATTTCACATTGAAATGCAAAATTCTCAATGTTTCAAGCTGCCTCGCAAGCAGTCTGGTTTGCCATCAGTAATGTTTTCCATTTTCAGTTTGTTCCAAGCCCGCTTTCCCCCTCTTGCAGCCCTTTATCATTCTGGATAGGTGTGTCTCCAGGTTTGCATTACACATGTGCAGCTGATATGGCTGAGGTCTGTTCAGGTCTTTTGCAGAGACAGAATTTGAATTCATAGATGGTAGCAGGAATTTGGATATCCAGTTTATCCAATGCCCAAAAGATGGCCGATTGCTGCATTAGTTCCAGGTTGTCCAGCACAGGCTGCTATCACATAATAGCAGCTTTGTTCCCCAGTTCCCTGCTGTTTAAATTGTATATTATTATCTGATTCCCATAGCCAAAAGGCTGAATCACTGCATGTCATCTGTTTAGCTGTGAAGAAAGCAAAGCAACAATTAAAAAAGGCAGTTTTTATTACGGCTCACTAGGATGAAGCCTAGAAACAGTGGTCAAGGCTTGGCACTCACTGTGCTATGCGCTGTGCGCTCATCACAAAAGGACTCTCTTTGCCCTTAAAGACCTCATGAGTGTAACCCTCGGCAAATTCGCTGCGTGTTTTTCTTGACATTTTTCAGAGGCAAATCAGTCACCCTATAGGGAGTTACTGTGCTAAATCTGAGGGCTGAATGTGATCTTTGTGATGCTGTCTTACAAGAATGTCGGTCCCAAGTACAGTCCTCAAAGCAACCTTAGCAGTGAAGTCACTTCTCGTGTCTCCGCAGCCCATTCCCACTAGAGTTCTTTTAATTTTATTTTATTTTTTATCTAGGAAATAATTCGTCTTCTAGTCTTTTTGTACTTAAAATGATTTCACATCATTCCGCTCTGGTCCTTTCATCTCTTAGCAAAATATGGGATGGCTCCTATCTGGCTCTGGGATACTGCCTTCAGACGCCCTCATTAATTGATTCCTTGCTCTGGCACAGCACAGGGACGATGCTCCTTCTCTCTCCCCAGGGAAATGCGAGCCTGGGCGCATCCATCCCATCTTCCTTTGTGCTTAGCCAGGCACAGAATCCCTGTGTTTTGTGTTCCCCAGCAGTGTCTGCTTATCGCTCTGTGCTCAGTGCTCGCTGCTTGCCTGGCTGTTCCTCAGTCGAAAGATTTTTGTTATTATACGGGGAGATTTTCTTCCATTATCTGCCTTATTTTCAAAAGCTCTTTAATCCTTTTTCTCCTGCCTGGTAAGACTCGCCTGCTGCAGTGTGGCTGAGGCATGAGCTTTCCTGCGACAGCATCCCAAGTGCACAAAGTGATGTTGGGCTGCATTCTGCCCGCTGAATGAGGTGCATTGGGCTGCCCTGAAATCTGCAGCTTCCAGCTCTTCCACTTTCCCAGCAACAAAAACACAGCTCGTTTCTTGCCCCAGAGGTGCCTCATCCTTCTTTCTCGGCTTATTTGTGTTCTCCTTATGCTCTATTTCATGATGCTGGAATCTGCTTCTTCCTTTGCGTGTATGGACTTGCACCTACTACAGGTATTTGAATTGTTCTGAAGCAGGCAGGTCTCCCTCATCAGAACACGACTTGCTTCCACGTGCGCTGATTTCCTGCTCGCGCCCCAGGTGCAGTCACCAGGTTGTGCCGGTTAAAATCTCACTTTTGTCCTCGCTTCCAAGGCATTTCCCCCGTTTGGATCTAGTTACCTTAGGGATTAATTGATCCATCATGATTTTGACCTCCTGCACCATCCACTCCCCATGAAATGATGGGGCTGTCATGCCTGAAGCAAGAACGCTGTGTGTGACAGACAGCTTTCTTTGTGGCTTGGCTGGGATCACAGGCTTTGCTCCTGAAAGATACCAGAATGGCACGAAGCTCAGCACAATATAGGGCCGATTTTTTTTTAATCTGCTGTCTTAATCACAACCCTATTAGTACAAGGTTTTATTATTCATCGGGATTTGACTTTATTCATGGGATCAGAGAAGAAGCCATTCGGTCCTTTATTGTATTGTCTTTTGATGTGTCATAAAGCAATCTGAGATCGCAGTGTATAAGAATATGACTTCTAATTGCAAGTAAGGAAAAAAACAGCAATAAACTAACAAAATGTTTGTCTCCCCTTTGCTGCTGCTACATAAAGTGGGTGTAGGCAAAGTAATCCATCTTCCTTTTTTAACAGGAAAGCGGCAGATGGGGCACATGGCTTTTTCTGAAGGTTATAGCGTGTGCAGCAGTGGGGATTGGCAGGGCTATTGTGTGTGAAGCCAGTGGGGGCTTTCTCTTTGCTCAGAAATAGGGGTTAGCCTCCCATTTCCATTTTGATTAGCAATAACGATACAAAGGCAAATTTCCAGCACTGGGAAGGGCTGCTCATAAAGTGACCTCGGAGCTGAGCGGCTCGTTGAAGGGCCGTGCCGCTATCAGAGCGCGCAGGGCTGCTTCCAGCTGCTGGGGTCTGGAGGGACATGGAATGGGGAGCCTGGAGCGGAGGCACAGCAGCCGTGGCAGTGAGCAGTGCCCTTCCAGCTCCTGGAGTCGAGCACAGCTCCTGGGCTGCATGGCGCGGGGACTCGGTGGCTGTCCCACCGGCACGGTGACATCGGTTGTGCTTGGGTGCTGTTGGGAATGCGTTTGCATGGCTTTCCTCATGGCAAACGCAGGGTAGATTTGGGGCTGTTTTGTGGGTTCCTCTTAGATACAGGTGGAGAGCACTTAATACCACGCTACTCCTAATTCAAAACCCCGGTTTCTATGTAGGAGTTATTTGCCGTTAAACTCCAGCTACGCAGCCTTTGGCAAGAGACATGAATCAATTTGTCCAGCTTTTCTTTTCTGTTTTGTCTCTGTGTGAAGGCTGATGCCCAGTGTGTGCCAAGGGGGCCTTTCAGCCCCAATAATGCGCCCTTGTGTCTCGTAGCATGCGTGGGATTTGCATAGGCTGTGCTGGGACAGGCAGGTTTCTTTTGTTGCTGGAAACAAGGAGCAAGTTCTTTCCCCTGTCTCTGCTTCCTAATGCCTCTCCAAAAGCTCTCAGCACTCATGTAAGAAATTTAATTTTTTTCTATTTATTTTTGCATTAAATGTTGTTGAACTTGATGCAGCTCTAACACCGTCTGTGCGGCAGACTCACGTCAGTCAGTTCTAGCTGACAAAATTGTTTAATTTCCTTTCTCTGAATCTAGATATCTGATTGTCAGAGAGAGCAGATAATCTGTGATGCTTGATGTAACTGCTGCAAAGTATTTGCATATCTTCTCTGTGGGGAAACAAAACTGCTAGTGAGTGAATAACAGCGCACGGATCATTGCAGGCAGGGTCACTGGGCCCATACACTCACTATTAACCCTTCTCAGGATCTGTATTGCCACAGAATGAGTTGTCATGGGTTTCAGGCAAAGGGCTTGCTCCGCATTATGGGCAGAGCTGGCACTTGCTCACGCATTGCAGCCCTGCGTGATGAAATGCGAATGTGATCAGGTCGATGGGTAGTTGCTTTTTGGCAGCAGATATTGAATCGTTGCATCTCACTCTTGATTTGTGACAGATAGCAAACTACCAAAAAACATACTGGGAGGTACTTGGGAAAATATGGCCCCCATTAGAAGGCAGCAGCATGCTCTCCAGGCCACTGAGCAACGCAGCTGGGAACCTTTAAGAGCTTTCTGAAATTTTCGCTGGCCTGGCAGATTGCCCTACGTCTGCCTCGCAGATCTTCCTCCTTGCATCCCCTTGAAGGAGCCTGACATCCACAGGGAGCAGTGCAATGAGGCAGGGCTTTGTAGGGGTTCTCACGGTGCAAGTGTTGCTGAATGCTTGGTTCCCTGCGGCTGCAGCGAGCACCCCGCTCCCTGTGCAGCCTTCCCAGCCTTCCTCCTGCTCTGATCTCTCCCTGGAAATTGCATCGAGACGGTCTTCCAGGTCTCAGCCATACAGCAGCCACGTGGATAACTCTTAGGGCCAGAGGGCTGCAAGTGCCTTCCCTTGTGGAGGCTTGTGCAGAGCAGTGAGCCCAGCTGCGGTCAGAACACAGTGCGATGGGCTCTGTTCAGGAGGCTCTGGTCTTTGGGGCCGCGTGCTTTGCAGCAGGAACCTCCAGGACTGTTGTGATCCCCTCTGTATGCACTCATCATTCCTGTTACCTGTGTGCTTAGCAGCAGCTGTTGGAAAACGTTCAACGGGAGCTCACAGCTGAGGGGGAATATTGAAACAGAGGAAAGTGTTGTACGGGAGCTCAAGAATGATTAAAAGACTGGAAAATGTCACGCAGTGAAAGCAGTCAGTGTGTGTGAGCTGGGTGGGTAGGCAGCCTCCGCCCAGAGCCATGGAAGAGCTGGCACACCAACTGGCATGGTCGGACTCGTGCTCTACAGCAAAGTATGACATTGCAATGGCTTGTGACTGGAGATTAATGACACTAATTCTCTGTTTTAGGTAAAAGAGGGGCCCTGGCCTGTGGGCCTGACTTCAGAATGTGTGAGTCTTTGAGATACAAGTGGGAAGACAGTAATGAAAGACCTAGAGGTAGATGGAAATTGGGATAAGCTTTATTATGAACATGATTAAGAGTGCTGATTAAACTGTGATCTCTTTGATAACTGTAATTTATCTAATCTGTGCTAGGGCTATGTATGTTATCTATAACCTTCACTAGAGCTGTGTCCCACATGCATCTTTTTCCCACGTGGCTTTCATGCCACGTGAAAAGCTATCCAACTGCAAAAAGTCAGTGTCAGTAGAGAACTGGGAGGTCAGATGAAAGACAGCCTGAAGAAGAGACAAGACCTAGAGGAGCCAAAAAGAGATGTACCAGAAGGAAGGCTGCTAAGAGTTCCTCAAGGACTGATTTTGAGCGGCTTGTGCTTATCCTGATAGGTTCACACTCACTCCAGATTCAGAGGTGGGCAGTTACTGTAGGTGGCAGAGAGCAGTAACCAAAGAGCTGGCAGCTTGATGATGGAACAGTGATGAGAACTGATGAGTACCAGCTGTCCATGAAAATATTTTGATTGGTATTTAAAATTTCAGGCCACTAGGAGTGAATTTCTCAGGAGGAAAGGAGACAGGGCCAAACTTATTTATGACTCAGAGTGGTAAGTTACTGTAAAATATTGGATGTCGTAGCTGCCTGAGTGAGGACAATGTGGATGCAGTGACAGTTTCTTTAGCTGGGTGTTGTCAAGTGTTGCATATTTTACCATCGCACTCTGGAGTGTGCGAGTCATTTGGGCTGTGTTGTGTAAACAGGCCAGAAATGTTTTTGCTCCAAAGGTAAACGTGTCTGTGCTGTGCTGAGCGCCCACCAAAGGCCAACAGTGCTGTCTGCGTAGACTGGAGGCTCCTGTGTCAGCAGATGTCTTCTTTGGGGCACCAGCTGGCTGTAAAAAAGCAATGAGAAGGTACTTTATTTTCTCTCTCTCCTTTTTTTCCAGTGATGCCATCTGCAATCTTGTCATCTGCAATGAGTCCTCCCTTCGCAGTCAGCCCATTATCTTCAATCCCGACTTCTTTGTGGAAAAGCTGCGCCATGAAAAACCCGAGGTGTTCACGGAGCTGGTTGTCAGCAACATCACCAGGCTCATCGACCTGCCTGGGGCTGAGCTGGCCCAGCTCATGGGAGAGGAGGACCCGAAGCTGCCTGGAGCAAACAGCACAGCCTCTGGGTTTTTTCGTTCCTTGATGTCTTTGAAACGCAAGGGTGAGCATGGGTTCTTAAAATACATGCCAAGTTGCCCTTGTCTTTGCATGCACCATGCTTGATTTTGTCCATGGTAGTTCATGCTCTGTTTTCCTTAGCTTGTTAGATTTCTTCTCTAGTGATGGAGTATAGTAAAGACTGCAAACATCAGGCTCTGTGAAGAAGTCAGTAGTAACCCAGACAGTAATTCCCAGGTTTTACAGGCCACTGACTTCACTCAGTGCCCACTTTCTCCTCCAGTTTCTGCATCAGCTATCCTGAAGGCCTTGTCATACAGATCTGTGAGCTGCACAGACAGGTAGGTGTCTCACATCCAAACATCAGCACAGCTCTGATCCATGTCCTGGTCCCAGTGACAAAGCTCTGCAGATTCACTACTTGAGATCAGGTTCAGCCTGGGGAAATCATGTATTCCGAGGCAAGCACTCAGCTGGAGCTTTCTTCTGGAGTTATGAAGCAGTGGTCTCTGCCTGCTCCTCAGAAGTCTGAGCTTTGCTTTTTTGCACAGATGTGTTCAGATCCTCTCCTCTTTGCTGGCTCACAGTACCATTCCATTTTGTTACATCTTGACAGGTGTTCTATGTGCCTTTTCCCACCTCTGCCCACACTCGAGGGGATACTGATTCTCCATTAGAAGTTCAGTGAAACGCTGTCTCTCATCTAGACAAACTACCTCCATCTGGGCACCTCTCGCATCCTTCTGTCTGCCATGGTTTACTAGCTAGACCAGCTGTCTGCTGGCAGGGAAGCTGTGGGTAGCTGCCTCCAAATGCTGGCAGCCTGGAGCTGAACACTTCTAATTCCGTTGAGCAATTCTGCTCTTGGGAGCATCTCTGAGAAGGCAGATATCAGTATGCCTGAGTACGGCTTCTTTCTGTCTTCAATCTTAATACAAAGGTAATGAAAGCTTTCACCTTGCTTTATAAGGACGCTGCTCAGGCTGATTTTTCCGGTGCTGAATCCTGCCCTCTGTTTCTGGTTCCAGTGGCAAAGCCAGCAGATGTGATCTCTCTGGGCTGGACTGCACTGCAGGTGAAAATCAAGTACTGCAAATCAAGTACTTCAGATCCTTAATTGAGAATTAGCCCATTGCTGTGATTTACCCTGCTGCTCCATAATAGCAGCTCTTCACACTGCCCCCAGACAGCAGTTACACCGCGCTCATGCCTGTGCTGCTCCCGCCTCTGCTCCAGGAGAGCAGCAGGACACCTTACATTTCGGCACTCATTATTTGGCAAACAGGAGCAAGCGAGTATCTGATTTTAAACATTTTTCTCATCGCGTATGGAAACTTCCCTGTTCTTGTCAAAACCTTCTAGCGGGGGTTTGAGAATCTTCTCCAGCTCTTTTTCCTTTAACAGATCCATACTCTGCTGGAGCACTGCTGTTACCTACTTTCAGACCCGACGCCTCCCTTCCAGCTCCGCTCCTTCCCGCATTCAGTGTTTCCATGGCCGTGTGTCTCACTGCAGCTACAGTTAGCAGATGTTTCCAAGTCTGCTGGCTCTGCTCCCAGGCTGCAATGGCAGTGTCTCCCTGCATTGACAGGCACTGTCTGTAAACTCCTTGGCCAAACTCAGAGGAAAAAGGGAGTTTGTGCTTACAGAGAAAATCAATTTCAAGTATTGTCTGTTTCGTCTTTGAGCCATCATTTGTTTTTCTTCATGTTATAGACCAGCTAGAACAAACAGGTTTTATTTCTTCAAAGCCAGAGGCCAAGAACCATACTACTCTGAGCTGATCAAACTGCAAATACTGCAGCTTCTGTGGGCATCGGGCAACTCAATCTCATGCTGCTGCTTAGTTTCAGAAGTCATTGCACCACAACATCTAAGCCTTTGTAACTCAGCATCCATTCTCCAAACACTTCTTTCAAGTTTCTTTGAGAATCAAATTCTCATTCAGATATCAGCTTCTGACTTCAAAAGTAAATCGAATCTGTCAGGCATGTCTCAAGATGATGTATTTTCCTCTTATTTTCCTGGCCACTACTGATTCTATCTGTTGAATGTCTAATGAGTTTAGTTTTTCTTCAAGGACAAGAATCTTTTGCCAATCACTCTCTCCCTTTGCTCTCAGGCCTTTCAAATCTTGCGTGCGGATCAAGAGGTCACATTGTCCTCCTTTCTCCTGCAAGGCTGAAGCGTATGCCTTATCAGAGGGAGGTCAGAAAGTTCTTGATTTAACAGGAGGCTGGATTTCCTGGTGGCTTGCCATTTCTGAAGTCCAGGAAGAAAGTGAAACATTCTTCAGGCGGAATAAATTTAGTTGTGCAGGAAGGCTGCTAGAGAAGTGCACAGTGTTAGCCAGATCTTCCCCACATGCTGTGAACATCAACACCACAGAACAGTAAGATCTGTAATGCAGAAGACCAAACGCTAGTAAAGTCACAGCGGGGAAAAAAGACATGAGACAAAGCTTGTGGGGGGAGATAACTTTTGTGAGACCAACTGATGCATTGCTTTTCTCACTTGGTATCGTGCCTTCTCTTCTACTAGCACGTGTTCCCTCTCCTGTAATCTGGCAGCTATGCCTCCTCCTGCTCTGCTCCATGTCAGTCCACAGTGAGAATTAACTTGGGCATTTCTTCTCAGGTGTGCAGTTGTAGCAGTCCAGGCTGTTGCATCTATCTTTCCCACTCTGCTATTCCCATAGAGTTCAGACTTACAGATGATATGCCCTTTAAAACTGAAGCATCTGTTCTGGTGTTGTTTCTTTTCAGGAGCTAGAGAATGTTTGCCTTAGCTGATAAAAACTAATTAAGCTGAGGTAAGAATCAGGATGATGAAGCCCTTGTAAGTACAGCATGGTGAGAGGAAGTGACTTATTGGGGAGTGCTTGTGAGATAATACCTGCGTGTGTGTGTGAGGGGTCCCTGTGACCTCCGCTCATAGTATTTTGGGGCACTGTTTTTGCATTCTGAGATGCTGCTTGGAGGGGACGTGTCTCTCTGTGACTGTTGTGCTCTGAGCTGCTTGAACACGTTATCTTTTGTTCTGCAGAGAAAGGAGTGGTGTTTGGCTCCCCACTGACAGAAGAAGGCATCGCACAGGTCTCCCAGTTAATTGAGTATCTGCACAAAAGTAAGTGTTTCTATCTTTTTCATCCTATTCCAAGGGTTATCTGTGTGGCCTGCCCCAGATCTCTGCGGTGCAGGCAGGGGGGAAAGCAGAGTTATCCATCAGCAGGATTTGGGGTCAGAACTAGGTGACTGTTCCCCAGGATTGCCTGTTCCATGAGTTGGTCTCTTTCCCCTGTGCACATACTCTGTTTGCTTATGGGAGTCAACTTGAAGTCATGGCTTTGAATGCAGCTCAGTGAGGCTTGCTGTCAAGCTCTGCAAAGAGTACTGCTTTAGTAAGAAAATGGGAATCAGCCTCTGAATAATTGGTGGCCTTTTTTTTTCTGTCTCCCCTCCATTGAACAGATCTACGAGCAGAAGGTTTGTTTCGGGTGCCAGGCAACAGCATCAGGCAACAGATTCTAAAGGATGCTCTGAACAGCGGTACAGATATTGACCTGGACTCTGGGGAGTTTCATTCCAATGATGTGGCTACCTTGCTTAAGATGTTCCTGGGAGAATTACCAGAGCCCCTGCTGACACACAAGCACTTCCACGCCCACCTCAAAATTGCAGGTGTGTAAGTAACAGGAGGCAGCGATGAACAGAGGGAATGGAGCCAGCCTCCTACAAAGCTGGTAATGCTTTAGACCTGCGCACTAGGCTGTGGGAGATCCTAAAGTACAAACCCTAAATGCATGGTAAGGAGGAGTCTTCCTGCCATTTCCTCCTAATGGTGGAAAGACTGGTGCTGAACAAGCTACGGAATTGGGCCAGCTCTGCCTGGCCCAGTTTCTCTCTCCAGCACAAGAGAGGAGTCTGCGTTGGTAACCTGGGGCTACATCTGTTTTAACCATGGGCTCTCCTAAGCTAGGCAATGGCTTATATGTTTTTAAAGACCATTACTGAACTAACTTACCTTGCCTTCAATCCATCAAAACACTTAGCAACTGCGTTGTTGTATAGGAGAAGTACTACAGCTTAACACATCAGGTGGGGAGGCTTGGGGGAAGGAGATGGAGGGTCAGGGGCTATGCAGGGCTTTGGAGGAGGGAGGAGGCTGCAATAGGCCTGCTGTCAGAGAGGCAGTGCGTGTCCTTCACATTCAGCCTTGTGATTTGGCAGACTTGATGCTGTTTGATGAGAAGGGGAATAAGACCAGCACTCCAGACAAAGAGCGCCAAATTGAAGCCCTCCAGCTGCTCTTCCTGATCCTCCCTGCGCCCAACCGCAGCCTGCTCAAACTGCTGCTGGATTTGCTCTACCAGACTGCCAAGAAGCAGGACAAGAACAAGATGTCTGCCCACAATCTCGCCCTCATGTTTGCACCCCACATCCTATGGCCCAGAAACGTGAGTAACCTCAGTATCTGCTGGTGGGATATTGCTAGGTTGAAAGCAAACCTCAGTAGGCTTGCAGGGGAAGAAATCGTATGGGAAGACTGTGCTGATACAACCAATTATTTGAGAGGCTGGAGGCTGGTGGTGATATGGAGCTGTGTGGCTGGATTCAGTCTTTGTGTTCACCCCAAGCCCACTCTAGGTTTCATTTGCAATTCCTACTTCCCTTCCAACAGCTGTGCCTTTGTGTCCTCTTGCCAGGTGACAGCAAATGACCTGCAAGAGAATATCACAAAGCTAAACAACGGAGTGACCTTCATGATCAAACACTCGCAGAAACTCTTCAAGGTGACCGCGCATTGGAGTCTTGCCCTCCCTGCCCTTTCTGTGGGAGTCCGAATGCCCTTTACCCACACAGATCCCAGTGGCAGGGGTATATTCTAGGTCCTCTCTTCTGGAGTGAGAGAGCACGATTTCTGCAAGAAGCTGTTCCCTTATTGAGAGGAAGTCTTTGCTGGGCGAGCAGCCCAGGAGGAGGAAGACAGCCTGGAGGTGGCCTTTGCGCCTCGCAGGTCGGAAGCACGGTGCAGTGTAATACCACCCTCTGCTGGACACCCAGCACCTGATTCCTGGCTGGGAAACCTGTTTCCTTGGGGCAGTTGGTGACCAGGCTTCCCCCGAGCACTGGAAAGTGGAGGGGCTTGGCCCGGGTGAGCGCCGCCAGGAGCTGCATCCTTAATACATCTACTCTGCAAGTGGCAGCTGGCCATTGCTGTTATTGGCAAAGTCTGCAGTCTTGGATATCCCTCTGTAGCTCAGAGTAGGATGCTGTGGTAGGACAGGAGAATCTACAGGTTTCTTCAAGGAAGTGTTTCTGCAGCAGGCCATCTCTTGACTTCCCAGGACCTTACAGGTCACTCTAGGCACCCACCCTCTGCAAAAAGAGCTCCCTTTCTGCCTTGTTTGTCAGACCCCTGAATGGCCAGCTCAGAGCTGGAGGAATTGCTCAGACATAACTTCTGTGGAACCTAGCTCTTATTTTGTTTTCTCCTAGTGTTGGTTGCATGCATCAAATGGAAACTCTGAGCAGGGATTCCACTGAGGACATGAAGTCCCATTGTATTTTTCTGTCCTAAACAGCAGATTTTCTTGATGGAAAAGGCTTGTTTGCATGGTTGAAGAGTGGCTCTTGGTGCAGCCGCCCTTGGCCCAGGGTCAAGTATATTATTCATGTTTTCTCTGTCCCTCATCACAGGCCCCACCTTATATCAGAGAGTGTGCTAGGCTGCATTACCTGGGATCCAGAGCCCACACATCGAAGGTAAGGCCAGCAATTGTGCCTGCCCTCCAAGGGCAGAGGCCGTGGTACTATGAAGGGACCTTCGTGAGTGAAAGAAGCTGAAAACAAATGAAACCATGAAAGAGGATCTGATAGGGAGCAGGACTGAGGGAACCATATGGTGTGGTAGTGCAGGCAACTGCATTAGGGAAATTGGGCAGAGTTGAAGCATCTGTTAATCAAAAGCATGGGGAAAACTACCAGCTCCTCTTTAGCAGCAAACCCGTTCCCTGTGCCCAGTACATGCAGCACCTGCTCTTTCATGGAGTCCTGCCTTCCAAACAGACACATCTGCTGCCATGACCAGGCTGCTTGGTAGAGGGGCTGGGACAAAGGCTTCTTTCTGCCACTGCGGAAAGATTTGTCTGCTTCTCTCTAGCAAATGCCTCTCTGCCTCGTAGCTGCAGAAGAAGGCAGATGCATTGCAAGGAGCCTCACTGACCCTTCTCAAACCTGGAAGGGCTTTTGCAGCTGGCATCCAGGAAGGGAGGGAAGAAGCAGTGGGGTCACCTTTGAATTGCTGTCACCTCTTGCTGGCACAGGGCCTGCTGGTGCAGTGCTGCTGCAGAGGGGTAGGGAAAACACAGCATTCACTGGGGTGAGGCAGCTCACGAGACTTCCCAGCCTGACTCAGATGGGTGGCTCACTTGGATTAAAGCATGGGAAACGATTACTGTCTCCGCTTTCCCAGGATGACCTGGATTTGCTAACATCTCCTGGTTCCAAGGAACTGCAACCCCTCAAGTCTCAGAAGCGAAGCCGTCTGGACTCCTGCCATCAGGAAGAGACCCAGCAGCGCACAGAGGAGGCACTGAGGGAGCTCTTTCGCCATGTACACAATATGCCTGACTCTGCAAAGAAGAAGAAGCTCATCCGGCAGGTAGTGTGGGAAGGAAAGATCTCTTTGGGGTGTGTTTGTCAGCACAGTTCTGGGCACAGGGCTGAAGGCAAGACCCACCTGAGAGCTGCCCCTAGTTCTTGGCTGGCTGAGGAGCATGGGCTCTGGGCTTTGTAACAGGCAGAACTGGATGGAGGCAGGGGAGGAGGTGGCCTGTCAGTGAAGCTTGCTGCACCAAGCTGTGCTTTAAGCTGTTTTTTGAGCCAGGGATTTGCCAGTCGGCAGTTTCCCAGTCCTGATTATGACTTTATTGATCTTTCTGCCTCAGGAAGTTCCTTCCTCTTTTGCTTCAGGGTCTGGGACAGACTGGTCTTTTTCAGTCTGGTGAGCATTCCAGCCCACTTGCTGCTCCAGAGAGGTTGTGTGGCATGGACAGCACTTGTCCTGGCTATAAGCCTGCAGCTCCTTCCCTGACTCCTTTCTACTTTAGCCTCTAACTTGGTATCCTGCATAAACCCTGAGCTCCCTGTAATACTGTGTAGGAGATGCAGCCTTCTGCTTCCTTCTCCCCTGCAGCTATGAGCTGCTTCTACATTTGAGGGTGTGGAAAAGCCAACCAGAGACTTAGCCAGAGGGCAGCAGTAGAGTAGCATACAGCAGCAAGGGGCTGGTGTAACTGTAAACTAAACTGTGCTAACCTTCTGCCTTCTTGTTTCCTTCTAGTTCAATAAGCATCCTTCAGCTCTCACTCCCAGCTCTGATGTAGCCACACCCCCAGCACCACGACGCACTCGCTCACGCTCCTTCAGCGGCCTCATTAAGGTAAGGGCAGCCTCCAACCCCTGCTCTCTGCTGTGAGTTTCTGATGTTGCTTTCTGCTTTTGCCTTGCCCTGTCTTAAATACAACCCTCAAAGGTATGGACTGTTCAAAGTACTGACTGCTAAACAACACAGATCTGCTCGGGACAGAAAGGTAGCACAGTGAAAATAAGCCTTGCTAGTATAAAGCGTAATTGTCTATGAAATGCTCTGCTGAAATGCTTGGCTGTAGGGTCTGTGCATCTTTCTGAAGGGCCTATTTGCTTCCTGAGATGAGATGAGGATTGACATGGAGCTGATCTGTCAGCACAGGTGTATGCACACTGTAGGCTGCCCTGCAGCAGCATGTACCTGTGTCTGGGCTCCTGGCCAGGCCTTGTGTCAGCTCCCAGACCCTTCAGAATCAGGCAGGCTTAGCCTGTTGGCATGGTGTTTCAGATGGCTCTGCTTTGCAATCTCTGTTCTAGCCTGGCTTCCTCTTTTCTTTCCCAGCATCCAACTGCTTATCAGCTGTGCATCTTGCTCCTTCCATTTCCTTTCCTCTCTGTGCTCTAAGCAATAGCAAACAGGCTTCTCTTCTTGCGGCAGAGGAAGGTTTTGGGAACCCCGATAATACAGGAGAGGAAGAGCAGAGATACCACACCAGAGCCCAAACGAGTCAGCAAAGAGAATGTCCATCTGGTAAGAGCTGCTCCCAGCACTGCTGACATTGCTGAACATGTGGGAAGGGAGTTTGATTGCAACTTGGGCACCCATTCGAGTGATTCCCGGGGGCTGATCACTGTTCTCCACTCAAGACAAAGTTTCCAAGTTTCTTCTGCATGATCTGAGAAGGCCTTAGGAAACTGCTCCGGGGAGAACAGTGCAGAGATAATGAAGGCACCATCAAGGCCTGGGTGACAGCAATGGACTCCACTCCAGAGTTTTCCTTCTGGCATTATCTGTGCTCCTGCTCTGCAGCACTGAGTTGTGCCCTATTCCCTCTCACATCCTCATCCACAAGTCGTACACAGCCAGCTGCCTCTGCATAGGTCTGTCCCCTGGGCCGGACATGCCACTAGTGGGTTTGGATTGTAGCTGCACTCTGGTGGTACAGGTAGCTCACTGAGAAGGCTGCAGATACCACTTAATTCCCTATCTCTGCTCCTATTCCCCTCTCTTGTTCAGTTACAGAAATGTGGATCTCCAGCTCACGTGTCCCAAGGGAAACTGAAATCATTGGAGGGCCAAAAAGAGGTGAGAGACACAAATGTACACGTTCTTCCTGTAAGAACCTGGCCCACTGAAGGACAAAGAGACCTACAGAGGTGATGCCACGCTCATGAGGCTTTGCCTCTGGCTGTGGCTGCTATGGTCCTCTGGCTGCAGCAGTCTGCTCCATGCCAAGCAGATGGTATGCTGGGCACCAGACCCTGACGACTTCCATCCAAGCAGGGATGTACAGCTCCTCTATCTGCGAGCTGGCAGGCTGGTTGTCATGGGAGGTGGGAGGGCAGCTAGCAGCACGGACTGGTGCTAACAGCCTGTCAGGATGGCAGTGTCTGCACACTGCCTCTTGTCTTCTGCTCTGCTTTGGTGAATAGTTGGAAAAAGTAAACATGCAGGCAGACTCCAGTAGGAGTCCTTGCAGGGGGAGAGGATAACATCACTTGCATGATGTTCTATGTCTCAAGCATTCAATTGCTGTAATTCTCTGCTGCAGGAATCCTGTAGACGCATGCGAGCCCACCTGCTTTCCAAGGATTCATCATCCCTCTGAATTGCTTTGCACCAGCGTTGGGTGGGGAATGCCCAGCCTCACAAGCTGTGAATAATGTGCTGCACTGAGCAGGCAGCGCTGCAGGCTCACGGTAGCCCTTACCAACGTGCCAGCACTCTTGAAACTGGACCTCTGCAAAGTCTGCAGAGACTTGTTTCTTTCTGTATATAAATAATATTATTTCATTCATTATGGGGCAAACCACTATCTAACCAAAAGCTGTTGTGCAGCATGTCTGACCTGCTGGCTCTGGGAAGAGCTGGAGAGCTTGCTTACACAGAGACCCCTCTGTACTGCAGGGACATGTTTGCACTCCCAGCATTCTGTGATGTTGTTAGACTGTGTGTTATTTTTTTTTTTTAACTCTTTCTGCTCTGAGTTTTTAACATAAGCTTGTTTTGTTTCCTTCCCTCTGTTAGCAGTGAGAACAATGGACTCCAACCTTTACCTGCATCCCAACAGTTAACCTTACCTCCTGACCTCCTTTGGAGCCAGACCCTCTGTGCTTCCTAGGACCTCTGCTTCCCATGGGGTCCTTCTTGCCTTGCTGTTCCTGAAGGGCTGGAGTGCACAAAGTGGTACACAGCACAGGAGAGGGTCTGGGTGCCACCACTTCACAAAGAGCATGGGGAAAGCCACTTCTGAACCACTTTGTTTCACGTTTGGCTGGAGGCAGTCCTTGCACACTGCCTTCATGTTTCTGCATTCCTGTGCTGCTGCTGGCTCTGCATGTTGAGCAAGGAGAGGCTTTGCTTTGTGTTCCTCCAGGGAGGCGAAGTGGCACAGAGCTTATATCTGGGGACAGAAGGCTGGCAAAAGCTGTCCTGGAGCAGGGCAGCCCAGTCTTCGGATGCTGGCATGTCTCACACAGGCAGAATCTGGTAGCAGCTTGCACAGTATAGCAGCAGTACAAGAGGTGCAAGAGGGCTCCAGTCATTTTTTATCTGCTGCAAACGGTGCCCAAAGGCTTTGGCTCAAGGTATTTGGCTGGCTGATCAGGCAACTGGCTGATCAATCATTAAACTGGGAGAAAGGGCTGGAGCCAGGTTCAGCTTTTTGCCCTGAGCTGCAGAAATGAGATGAAACCATCTCGAGACAGGATAAACCCCCGTCACAGCTGGCCATTGTCAGCTGTCTTGTTAAGCTGGAGTGCTCCAGTGAGCCAATCTTGCCAAGTACCTGTCTGCAAGCACTCTGGGGTAGGAGACACACAGGGTCACTACTGTGAAATAAAGATTTAATCAGTTGAGGAACCATCTAAACACTTCTCAGCCCTTCTTGGCGAAGCAAATAATCTCTGGAATCCAATTATAATTGTCTTCTAATCTTTAAGAACCAGCAGCCGGCAGGAGTTAGAGCTCCGTCCTTGACAGCTTTTGGAGACAACTGGTGGCAGGAGGTGTGAATCTGGGGATGTGAGCAGGGAGTTCAGTCTGACTGGCTCAGAATGGGGTTTTTGTGCCCTGCGCAGCTTAGCGGAGTTATTCATGTTTTTGTACTGCTATTTTTTTTTAAGAGCTACAAAGCTCTGTGCTTCATGCTGCTATGTCCAAGGGGATGTTCGTGGTACTTTATCGGGAGTGCCTGTCCCCCGTCTGACCCCAGAGTGGAGGAAATGTAAGGGGCAGAGAGACAGTAGATATGGGAGTTGTGAGTTCCTGGTGTTAGAAGTCTCTGTCACAGCAAAGAAAGCGCCGGTTCTTCAGGGACCAGGCAGGTGAGGATGCTGTGAAGAAGGGCAGAGGCTGTTTGCTACGGTAACAGTATGTGCTGTTTGGATGTGTCTGTAATCCATCCCTCCAGAGGCTGAAGATGTCTTTGTGCTCCTCTCTGAAGGGCGCAGTGTGTTTGGCTGAATGCACTTCTGCCCCATCTCTGCAGCCTCCTGCAGTGCAGTGTGCTGCTGGCAGAGCCCTGGGAACATCAGCTTCCCTTTGGAACAGAGCCCGGGGTGGGGTGGCAGTGTGTGAGCAGCTGGCTCTGCTCCTGCTGCCTCTGCTCTTCCTGCATTTAGGGCTGCTGTGCTTCTGTTCATCCCATCCCTTCTCTCTCCTTGCTCCTAGTGTACTCAGACGTATCTATATCTCTGTTTGGATGTTGGCTTTGCAAGGCATTCTCATTCCTCTGGCTAAATACACTGCTCCTGTACAGACAAGAGGAAAGTAGCTCTGCTCTGCAGTGTCAGCCCTTATGCTGACAGCTATAGCTCAGCAACTGGCTTCTGGCACTGCTGAGATTTGTTTAGCCCCAGGAAAATACTTTCTGCATCTCTTGCATGCCTTCCATTGCAGATAGAACGGGTGCAGTCCCCAGTGAGGTCCTGGGGTCGGTGCCCTGCCTTTAGCCCATGCTGCTCTCCTGCTCATGCTAAGGATGGAGGCAGCCAGCAGGGACTCAGCCCCTGGGACTCTTTGGTTGTCACAGCCCCACATTCACAGCGCTCCACAGTCACGTCTGGATGTGTTCATTTATCTGCTCTGTGCAGTGCCTCACAAGGATGCTTCCTTCCTCCCAGAGCAGCCGCTAACTGTTCCCAGAGCCTCTCATTGCCAAAGCATTTTTAATCTTTGTTCTTATTTATATATGCTATGTATGTACTGTTTCAGACTGCTGCCTTTCCGTGTGTTCATGCAAAAACCCCATATTAAATGCTTTTATTTTTAACGGTTTTGTTGAGTGGCTGAAGCAGTTTCAGTGGGACAGGGAGGGCTCAGCGGTGCAGCTGCCTTCAAAAGGAGGGAAATGTCTGCTCACAACCCCAGCTCTGCTCTCCCGGAGGCGCGGAGGCACCGTCTGCCCACGGCTGTCCTCCCCTGGCACTGCTGCCTGCCCCCACGCGGGATCCGAGCGCAACATGGGATGCCCAGGCGGGCTGTCCTCCCCCAGAGGTGGAAAGTTGGGCCTCTTCCTTTCCTGCCTTCCCCCTGCTGTCAGCCGGGGTGATGGGAAATAAGGTTTACAAAGAGCACTTTATATAAATAATGGATCAAATGAATACATTTTTCTCTTTAGAACCATTCCTTTCTCGGCTGCTGAGGGAGGATGCTTTCTGCCTGCATTTTCACTTCCTTCTTAATAATGGTGTCTCAGATTTTATGCAGATTATTTCCCTGTGAAGTTCTTCCATTTGAAATGCCCTGGGCTTGCCTGCCGTGGCTCAGACACTCATTAACATCCTCGCCGTGCAATTGAAAATCAAGCAGGAGAGGCGCGCAGTGTTGGGAAGCAGAGCTGTCTCTGCAGGGTCTGCTCCAAGTGGGAGCTCTCTCTGGGGCTGCGGTTGGGTGCCGAGGGACTCACAGCTCCCTGAGCTCGGAGAGGGAGAGCATACGGACTTCTCCGCACTTGAAAGTGGGCTTGGGGGTCCGGAGAGACGCATCTGGCTTTGAAAATGCTGAACAAAGAGCTGCAAAAACTCACAGCAGTTATTTTGAACACTGCAAATCCAAATATCACCTCCCTGCTAACACCGAGGCAGCTGTGATTCAAAGCGACAGCTTCAGTCTGCTTACATCGTTTTAAAAATGAGTCGTTTTTAGCCTTTGGAACCACAACCCACACGCTGATGCTTGGCTGTATGGCGGGGCCCAAGCGTGGGGAGAGGGTACAGCCCTGGGGGGGATCTCAGCCGACAGCATGTTTGGTTTGGCCTGTCACTCCTTCTGCACAGCAGTGACATTACAAAGCAAACAAGCAGCACTCCTCCTTCGTTTCATTAAACAGTTTTTATCTTAAAGTGCACTGCCCAGACTTGCAAATAAGTTCTGCAGAGTGTCACTGCAATCTAAATCAATGTTTGCAAGTTGTCTTGATTTTTTTTTTTTTTCCCAAACTGTTCTGCCCTGGTTCAGAGATGAAATAGGATATTTTTTCCTTTAAATTATCGTGTGTGCCTAGGAGCTGTCATTCTGCTGCTGTATCTGACTGCCTAGGGCAACGCTGTAGACAAAAACACACACACTGCTAGCGATAGATGTTGGCACCAGCCAGACCTCTTATTGGGCTTCACAGTCTCATCAGCTTAGACGAACTAATATTTTTTCATGGTGTAAATAAATTACCATGTTCAGTTCTGTTTGCCCATCTCTGCTGTGAGGGCTTCGTGCTGGAGCTCATAAATTGTGCAAGTGCGTGGTCACTGAGATCTGGATGCTGGGTCCCATGCTGACCCTGTGCTCATACTGGGAGGTGCTGGAGGCATCTCTGCTGGAACGGCTCCTGGGTGCAGTCCAGCACGGCTCAGGGTCAGTTAGTCTATTAAACAGTAAATTATCCCTCCGATGCGTTTTCCTTGAGGAGGGTAATGAATGGCTCCAGGCAGAGTGACTGGGGAAGGTTCTGTGTGTACAGATGTGGATCGATTGCTGCATTTGGGACTCGGAGCCCCCGGCCCCACACTGCACTACCAACAGTGCTTCCACGTGTGAGGTGCCTGACAAGCACCTCAGTGTGTGTGGTTCGTTCGAAGCAGCCTGCGCTGTGCCGCGGCGCTCCCAGACAGCCGGCGTGTCCAGCCCTGCTGGGAACAGCAGCTCTCATGTGTGCTGGGCTGCTTGGTGTGAATGCTTTGCTCATGGAGCAGAGCTTCAGCGTCTCTCACATCTCCTTGAGGGATCCAAGGGCAGAGTTTGAGTGCTCGTCCCTTTGCTCCATCCCAGTGGCAAAGTCTCCAGGCAGTCAACTGGGATATGCTTGCAGAATGCTGCTGGCACAGCTTATGGGGTGATGCTGGCTGTGTTCACAGGGCTGTGCTGGCAGTGTCTCAAGGGCAGAGCTGGCAGTGCTTGTAGGGTGATGCTGGCCATGCACACAGGGCAATGCTGGCAGTCTTCACAGGTGATGCTGCTGGTGTTTGCCAATAAGGTCAGGCTTGTCCCTGGAGAGTCACCAGCAAGAGCACCCCCAGCCCTGCCTGACACAGCTTTACTGACTTACTGTGATCCCAGCAGCCCTGCTACCTGCACCACTCCATAACAGATCCATCAAAGGCACTGTCACTCTATGTGAGCCCAACAGGTACCATAGCAGGAGAGACTCACCAGCCCCTTCTCAACAGTGCCTTCTACTCCAAGGCCAAGCATGGCTTCCCTGCATGAGCTGAGCCTCTACAGGGGTCCCTGGAAGGTCTTAGCACATCTCCAGCCCCCAGCCCTTCTGCTTGCTGGAAGTGTTGCCAAGGAAAGGGTGGGATCCTGCTGTCCTGCAGCCCCTGCCTGGGAAACAAAGGGGCTGGGCAGCTCGGTAGCATGCTGCAGCCTGTCCTGAGTGGATAGAAATGATGCTCTGGGGGAATCTGGCTTAAAGCTGGCAGCAAACATTGTTTGAAGCTTTGTAGCTGCTTCACATCTCTTTGCACGACAGGTCTGGCGCGTCCCCTGGAATCCTTCCCCAGATCTTCCCATGGAAACTCCTTTCCTGCAAAAGAAAAAAAAAAAAAAAAAAAAAAAAGCTGCTGCTTCAGTTTAACCAAACCCAGAGCCCATCAGACGATCCAGATGGTCTCTCTCTCTATCAAGCAGTTTGGCCCAGATCCCAGCGGCAGACGGCAGGACCAGGCCTCCCCTGATAAAGGAAAGTTTGAGGTTTCTTTACCTCCCAGCTCCTCATCCATATTCAGTGGCACCTAGGGCCTTGCCCATGCAGATGTTGCTCTCCAAAGCCAACATCACCTCATGTGGCACTTTTGGAGGATCTCATCCTATATCCTCAGCCATCCCATTTTGGTTGTGACTTTGGAGAACACGGAGCTGCTGGAAAATAACCCTCAACCCCAGAAATTCAGCTGAACTCTTCAGCACACAGACTTGGTTCCCTCTGGGTGCTCTGCGGTGTCATTGCCACCAGTGTCCCCAAGGGAGCCTCGCTGATGCCGTGCCAGCACGAGGTCAACTCCCAGCCCCTGGGAAGCCGCTCATCTTCCTCGCTGTCAGAGCTGCTGTGTAGCAACGGGGAACAAATCCCTTTCATGAGACTCAGCCACAGCTTCCTCCTGGGACTGGGGCCAGAGGAAGGAGATGTCACGAAAATGCAGACGGATGATGGGAGCCAACATTTGGGATGGGAAAGGGTTGCCAGTCTGCGCCAAGCCGGTGCAGTCCCGTGTGTGCAAGGTGGCTCTTGCTCGGAGAGACCCTGAGCATACCTTTCACTTTTTCTGCTTAAGGACCATTGGTTTGGTCCACGCTGTATGGGTAGCACTGATTTAAGAGGCACTGCTGGCCTCAGGACCTGCTGTCATCAATGCATTCCTCCTCCAAGGAAAGCTGCAGCAGTTGCTTCAGCAGCCAGGGCTCTGCTTACAGAATGCCTGCAGGTTTCCCTACAGCTGGAGGGTGGGAGGGCGAGAGTTGGAAGGTTTTGCAGGTGCTTTGTTAACACAGCCCTCCCGGTTACACCCTCCTGCTTCTCACCTGTGGACCTCGGGGAAGGTGTTGCTGAAGGATGCAACATTCTCATTTCTGTAATGTCAACAGGTTGGGGCCAAGCTCAGATTTCTTGGCTTCATTTTTGTTTGTTTGTTTGTTTGTTTGTTTGTTTTTTGCATTGAAACAGGTATGTTTTGCCTTTTTGGTGGATTGGTCACAAAGGCTTTTTTTGTTGTGTTACTTCTTGAGATATTCCCTTGGAATGGAAAAGGACACAGACAGCAGCTCAGCCAGGACTATGAGATTTGTCGTTTGTGCATGAGGCAAAGGACAGAGCCGAGCTGCATTTTCGAGCATGGCTGCGGGTTCCTGCGAGCGGACCCGGCATCTCTGCCGTCTCACCTGGGTACGAAACTCTGGGGAGTGGTGGAAATGGTCCAACGGAAGCAGGAGCTTTTGGTACCCTCCAAGGAGAAGATGCGGCTGCCCTATCCTACCGCTCGTTCCCCGTCCTGTACCCACCCCGAGCGTCCCGAGAGGAGCCGCGTGCTTTAGCGCGGCGCGGAACCCCGACGGTTCCCGCTACCGTATCGGAGGCGCGGTGAGGGGCGGCGGCAACGGGCGGGGGGGGCTCGGTGGGGCGGGCAGGGAGGAGGGGGGGAGGAGCCAGCGCGGAGGTTGTGCCTGGGCTGCGGGATGGGGCGGCAGTGAGGAGTGCGGGCGCGCTTCGACGGGGCTGCGCCGTGCCAAACCGAGCCGCGCTCCCGGTGATGCGCAGCGCTCCCTCCGTTTAGCTGCCCGCTGCCATGGCTGTGCCGACCGGCGCGGCCCCGACCCCCGGAGGGGCAGCGGGGGTCCCGGCGGGGCTGCGGGCCGCCGCCTGGCTCCTGGCGTTCGCCGCGCTGTGCCGGGGCCGCGCCGCAGCCTGCCCGCCGCTCTGCGCCTGCAGCGGCACCACGGTGGATTGCCACGGTACGGCCCTGAGAGCCGTGCCCAAGAGCATCCCCCGCGGCACCGAGCGCCTGTGAGTACCGAGGGGCTCCTTTGTGCGGGGCGCGGAGGAGGGAGCCCGTCGGGGGGCTGCGAGCGGGAGTCCGAGGGGACGCGCGCGGAGGGAATGCGCCCACAGCGTCCCGTCCATGGCGGTGAGAAGGGATCTGTGCGTGCCTAGCGCCCGGCGGGGCACGGTGCGTGTGCAGCTGGCTGTGGGAGGGATGTGCGAGGGGTCCCGAGTGTGTCTACGTGTGTAATGTGTGGAGCTGGCGGGGGTCTGAACAGCGCCCAGGAGCTTGCGTGCTC